TTTCTGTGAGAAATCATAGGTCTGTATTTGTATGTGTTTAGATGATATTTAGTTTGTAAGAAACAAATAAATAAGGACATGAGACCGATTACTTGTTCAGTAATTTAAACAGCTTGAAAGCACCATAGATTAGCTTAGGTTGTGTTAAGACGTCAATCCTGACAGTCATACTTGGATAGCTAAGAACGCTGATCCGTTGTCTTACCTAAAAACTCCTTTATACTGGATAATTAGAACATTACAAATCGACGAAGCGCTTTGAGCCTCCCATAATTTTGTTTAGACGGTTTCGGCTATGTCTTCTCAAAGACTACCGAATTGTTTTTGAGAAGCTCAGTATCCGAGTGACCTTAGTAAATCCTTTTTTAAGTAATCAAGGATAATGTCTGGAAATACACAAAATATTTCCATTTAGAGTCACTGAAGTTTAAATTCTTTTTTTGTTTAAAGTCTTGTATCATACCGACTCTTATTGCGGGAAGTGGTTTCGTGAGCTAATGGTGTACAAACCAAGGCAAAACAATTCGTACCTTGGTTCTAGAAGTCAACCCCTAAAGATGGTAAAAAATATAATAATAAATACGCCTACCAGATATGGTTTCCACAGTATTCACAAAATATACTTAAGCATTTAATAATTTCTTTACATTTCTATATGCTCTGTATGGCCGAACGGGAAAAGATACTTAAAACTGAAAAATTTGATACTTCGAAAATCGTTCGAAATATTTTTTCTCAGCCATGAATCGGCAGTTGAGTTTTAATAGGCGGTCCGTTAAGTAATTTACATCACCGCTGTAAAATTAGTTAACAAGTTCAATTTCGTACATCGGTTCTTACTGAATCACACCTATGTATCCTATAGCGAGAACAAGCGATTATCCAGTATTAACAGACCATTAAGTCCGAAACAGTTTCATTGTCGGTTCGAGATCATCTTTGAAACATGCATTCTTTGGTACATATCAGAGTCCAAATGATATTCGAAACAGTGGAGTTCACCTGGAAAGCTTGCTCCCAAAAAACGGAATCATCGTCGATTTTAACAGTGATAGTCGATTTTAGGATTAACAAGGTTTCAGTTACACCGACTACATAGAGAAGGCAAACTGGCCAGATAGATTTGTAGATTTGGGCCGATTCGATGTAAACTTGAAAATTAACGCAGACTGGTTAAAAAGTTGGAAAATCATTGAGTCAAGTGAAACCAGTTAGAGGGATTATAGAGAAACAAATCGCAATTTTGTTTTCTTTTAAAAGCTACATATATACTCATTATATATAG